AAGACCTAATGTCTCTACAGGGGCGCCCGAACAGGGAGCGATCAAATAATGGGTTACTCTTTAATATTTTTTAGGTACAACTCTGATATATGCCCTAATTTCACCAAATGTGGCGATATGTGTTCTGCACTGGTTTTTGGAACGATTGCGTGTTCTATGGCAACCCTGTTGACGTTGAAGAATCTTTCTCTGGAGCTCGTTGATTCTGAGAAGTGTCTGAGAAGATAGGAGGGAAAGATAAAAAGATAGAAGTTGTTGAATTGAAGTTCAGCAAAAGGAAATATCATTGTAGCCATCCTGTTGAGGGGTAGTGGGTATTTGGAGGTGTGGAAAGAGGGTCTGGGAGATTATTTTTAATGGCTGTGCATGATAGTAGTAGGGATTTGTGATTTTATTTATTTGTGAACCATAGTATGAATTTTCTGGAGTGTGTCTGGCTGTCATGTAAATACGATAGTGATTACGTGGCGGCATGTTAAGGCGGTATAACACTGGTATTTCTGCTGCTCGAAAAAGCATTAATTCATGGTAAGTGCATTTTATTTTATTCTTGTTCTTATTTTGTAGAATGTTATGTTCATTGGTTATTTAGTATGAATTTCTGTTGTTCTTGTTGTTTTTGAAACAGAATGCTGTGTACATGGTATTATTTGAAATTTATTGTTATTATATTATTTTACTAAAGCGAGGTGTGCGTAGATCGTAGATTCGTTCCTTGCCTGAATTGTGCAATTCATAGATGTTTTTTTAAGTTTAAACAGGATGCTGTGTACATGGTATTCTTTGAAATTTATTGTTGTTATGTTAATTTATTAAAGCGAGGTGTGCGTAGTTTGTAAATTCGTTCGCTGCCTACATAGTGCCATTCGTAGATTTTTAGACTTTTTTTAAAGTTAAAACATGTCGCTGTGTACATGGATTCCTGTAAAATATTTTTGGTTAGAAACTTTGTTTTTGCTATCTAAATTTTTTGTTTTTGTTTCGGATCTTTAGCTTAAATCGTGTGTTCAAAACGTAGTTTTTGCATGAGCGAAAATCGCGTTTTTGGAGATATTTTAGGCTTAAAGTGCGAAATATAGACAAAAAATTTAGATAGTAATAGAGCAGCGTGAAGTTTCTCGCCAAGGGCATAGCAGAGTAGTTCCATTTTTTACACTGTGTTGTTTATATACAGTCAAAACTCGTTAATTCGGACACCCATAATCCGGAACTCAAAGCTAAAAACTTTCTGCGCATACGCCGCGTTGACACATGCGCATAGGCGTTTACGCATGCGCGTAAGACCTTTACGACTGCGCATATGCATGTGCGCAAGCGCAGAATACGTTTTCGCGTGCGCGTTTTATGTATATCGGACGGCATAAGCTAAAATTATCTAATTATCTATTTCAGTTAATGTTGATGATTGCGTTGTTCCTTAATCTTCGAGTTAGATCCAGCTTATTATTTTTTGCAGACTGTAAGAGCAATTTTATAAAAGTAAACTTGAACTTTCGATTATGTCAAATAGAATTTCCGATGCTGGAACTTCCGAAGGATCTACAAAACAAAAGTATGTTTCGATGTCCAACAAACAAAAAGTGGAATTGCTGCAAAAAAATGGATAAAGACATGAAGAAGGTGACAGAGAGGTTAGCGAAAATGAAAAAATTTCGATTGACAAGTTAGTCGGTATTCTCGGCACAGCAATTATGGGACTTGAACAGCGGAACTTCGTAACTGAACAAGAAATTATGTCTGTTTATAGAATTAAAGAGAAAGTATTATCACATAAAACGAAGCAACTTAAACAACTTACATTGAAGGAAATGTTTAATAAAGTAAACAAATAAATATTAAGCTTTTTTTTTTTTTTTGTTTTTTTTTTTGTAAATTTTGATACCCTTTAGATCATAATTGTTCTTTATTTCACAAATTAAGATTTCATATTTTTAATTTTAGAATTTCTGCATGCCATCGTATGAGATTTAAACTGATGATCTATAATCCGAAAAAATCGATAATCCGAAATCTCCGAAGTCCCGACGAGTCCGGATTAACGACTTTTGACTGTAATACAAAAATTAAATGGTTCTGTTCCGTTATCGGGACCAGATTCAGAAATGTATGTATGTGCATCCCAGAATTGCACAAAAATGGCATTGCGCACACTCTTCACTATATCCATGTACACTGCTTTTTTCTCATAAATTAGAAAAATTTAACGAAAATGCATGAAAATACTCAATGTATACTACTCAAACGTATTCCAAAATACTACAAACATATAACTCACAAATCACGATCATTAAATTAAAATATAATTAAATAAAGAAACACTACTTAAAATATAAATAAGCATATACATTAAATTAATAAAAATTAGATTACATCCTAACTACTTTAAACAAATCATTGCTAATAACAGTTTTCCAATAATACCATATTAATTTATTTACTCCTTACATTTAGAACAATGCATAAAAATAATATCCTCAAATTATTAAAAATACTAATTTACCTAATCTCTTCAGAATCTTCATTACGTGGCACGCACCATTCCCTACAGAAAGAGTTCCAATCGGCTGCAGTGCTACTGCTAATTTCTAAATCCGAAATCCAGTAGTCAACTGGCAGTCTATTCACCCAGTAATAAGAAATTAATAAAATTTCACCCATACTCAAACTACTTTCAGCAAACCACGTATCCTTCCTTACACTTTGTTTCACAAAATGTCCATTTTCACCATATTTCTTGCACGGCCATTTAATCTTCAAATATCCTTCCTTTCACACAATCTCAACTTATTATTATTATCAGATAAACGCATTAAAAATTTAGAATTCACTTTATATAGCGCCATGCAATCCGAAAATTAATCAACACTATTTCTCACAACACACAATGAAGCTTAATACAAAATAATTTTTCCAAATTTACCCCTTTTCCCGATTAAAGAACTAATTTGTCCATTAATGTCACATGACATATCTCATGATCTCTCATTTCCCTCACACAAAATAATGCGTAATTGGAACTGATTACTTCTCACATTATTACCAAAGTCCTAGGTAGTAACCTTTATCGCCTCCAAAATGTCACCAAACTACCTGTTACCATATTCCAAAGATCAGCGAAAGCATTAATTGACTGATGTATATATGAAGGTTTACTTAGTAGCCATTACAAGGGTCCTGTTTGTACGAAGGAAATGTGTATATCGAATGTCTGAAGGTACTGGCACTATGGAGGATATTTTTTACTCTTATTTTTTATGAATTTATGTGGCGACACCAGTATACAGATTTCAGTTCAGATAATTTTAGGAAGCTTTTGGATGCTGAGGAATTTTTTTGTGTGCCACAGACAGAAGACACGGAAATTTCTAAATAAAGTAAGTGGATATTTTCTTTGTGTAGTGCTTAGATGCTCTAAGATGGAATTTCATTTTTTTATGTTATTTCATTGCTTGATTTAAAATGTAGTTTACTGAGAGATATATTTTCTGTTTGGCTCTAGTGTAGAATTGGCTGCTCCTTTGACATTTTAAGCGAAAATAGATCAATGTGGACATGAACAAAGTCAAGGCAGTGCGCAATGCAGAGTTTCTGCAATTCTTTAATGTTTCTTTATGTGAAAATAGGTTGATGTGTACATGGATACTGAGTTTGTGCAATTCTTTGACTCATTATTTTGGCTTTGTGTAACAGCAATTTTTTCCACAAAAATCGCCACTACACAAAGCCAAAATAACAAGTCAAAGAATTGCACAAACTAGTTGTCTATGTACCACCAAAAATTGCCTATTTTCACCAAGGGGATTTGTAAACATATTTTTACCATATTTATTTGTATTTAAATATACTTTGATATACTTATATGAAACAGCAACTTGTCAATAATCCAAGGGGCATCCTTAAGTACAGGCTAACCATATATTTTAAATAATAGTCAAGTTTAATTAAATTCAAAAAACTATTTCTCTTATCATGGGTGCATATACAAGAACTAAAAAAATTCATTTTAGGAATAAATATTTTATGATCAGTTGTATAATCTTTTTACTAATTGTATGATTTAATTCAATTTTGTAGTTTTATAAGATTTATTTGGTATACTTTTTTATAGAATCTATACTGAATGCACACAGCTTTTTAGAAAATCTACACATATCTCTTTAGAACCTCTTGTTGTTGTTGACTAATGCTCACTTGTCAGACTTATAGTCAGGGCAAGCCTACATAATTCTTCATGGTAAGGAGCACAAGTTATGTCTCAAAGTGGCAACAGCTTTGAGCACCTTACAGGTGAAAGTGCGATTCAGCTCAGTCCCCCCCCCCATTTTGTTGGAGGGGACCTTCAGATCCGTCTCCGTGGTCAACCTCTCAAGAAGACTTTCGACTCGCCACATATTTAGTGCCCTCATACTGCACGGACACTACACATTTACAAGCATCCATGCCTTCTCCGGGATTTGATTACAGGCCATTTGGAATGGCAGTCAGCGACGATAACCATTATACTTTAGAACCTCTAAACTACATAAGTAACATCTAAAATTTCATAGAATACTACACATCCCTATTCTAATTTAAACTGAATCATAATTTTAAGGGATTGTAGAAAAATTGGATTTGTTTTGAATGTAAGTACAAAATTTTGGCAGAAAGGTGGATTGGATTGTACACTGGATTTTTTTTTTTTTTTTCAAAATTGTATAAAACTTTTGAGTGAAGTGCAGAATCGCCTATTTATTTGGCACTTTTATGAGTGTATATAAGAGTATGAAGAATTGGATTTTTGTCAATTTCCTTTGACTTTTTAAGTGAAAATACATCGATGCGCACATAGACAGAGTCAAGGGAGTACACAATGCTGAATTTGTGCAATTCTCTGATTTTTTTTAAAGTGAAAATAGGTCAATGTGTACATGGATACCGAATGTGTGCTATTCTTAAAAACGCACCAAGCAGTGCGCGATTCTGCACTTTCCCCATACTTTTTAGTAAAAGTCACTTACCAATTATGTATACAGCATTATGGTCATATGTTTTCATAGGCTCTTTTGCAAAAGGAGTGACATAAACTAGTTTTTCTTTCGGAAATATGTCTAAATAACTTAAATCTGTCAATGTGATGAAATTGTCTGGTGCATACAAGTTAGGCATGTATCTTCGAAAGGAAGTCATTGTTTGGCTTTGGTTGTCCACATTACAAAAGAAAAGGTCGTAAGGATTACAATTCCTTCTGTTAACGCTGTAGAGTTCCAGTAACTGTTCTCCACAATTATTACAATCCTGTTTTCGCATAAAACAATCATAGTCCATGTCCACAATAAATTTCTGGCCATAGAGCACTGCATTTGCCAGCCGCTGGTTGTAGAATCGCATCACAGTTTTTCGACGAATTCTTAATATCATTGTGTTGTGCCCAATACCATACTGTATGTGTTCAGGTGGTTTTATGTTTTCTTTTTCAATCAACCAAGCTTGTCTATCTTTTTGCTTAATTTCTTTTTTTCTGCGGTCTGCAGCTTTCCGTAGTTCTTTTTCAAATAAAAATCCCATATATTTGATACGGGATGAATAACTATACATAGATAAGAGTTCCCTCATATCCATCACGGAAATTTTTGATGGCACTTTTTTGCCTTCCAGTTTTGCAACTTCGTGTTCCATCAAAAGCATAAGAATTTTTTTCTTTTTCTCAAGATCGGTGACAAGTTCCGAATATTTCGCAACTGCGAATTCTTTATCATGCTGTTGAAGATCGGATGTCTCCTCTTTTGCTCCCGTACTTAATTTCGACGCATTTATGCATGAATTATTAGTTAAAAGTCGTATGTTTGAAGAATTCCATTGCAATCTATTAAAATTTGATTTATTTCTAATAGCAATGCCAGTGAAACATCTTAATTTTATGCAATATGAATAATATACTTTAACAGCTGTTATGCTTTTATATACTGTATTCATTTTAAAATTCACAAAAGCCAAGGAAAAAAGATACAGTAACACATAAACAGATCCTCCTATTTACTTGGACGACATGCGTGTTTTAGGCTGGGGACACTATTACCAAAATTACAGACAGACAGACAAAATAGACAGATGTCTTGTTTTGCACCCGCTAAGTCTTTTTGCACAGATGGGTGAAAAATGAAGCTAAGGAGCGAATTCAAGTGCAACGCTTGTCATGGTAATCACACTTGCATTGCAAAACCGAATTCAAGTGCAACGCTTTTCGGACACGCCTACTGAAAATACGTCACTACCATAGAGGAATTTTGCGGCTACTCCTGACCTGCCGCAAACTCTTAACAGTGACTGTAAACAAGATGGCTGAAGTGATTTTGCTCAGACGTTTAAGAAATCGGAGAAATGCTGATCGAATCCCTTGGCATTTAAGAGACAGTCGTAATGCTTTTGAAATGGTGGAGCGTGAATTCATCAGTTGATTCAGATTAAATCGGTTTGCTTCAATGAATTGAAACCTTTTCTGAAGGCAACTGCCAATGGATATTCTCTGCAAAAGCAGGTTTGTTTTTACTTCAGATTATGAAAACTGAAATACTTCTGGAAATGTTTCCGAATCAGAGACTATGCTTAAATGACCTATTCGAGAATATTATATATTTTTATACGTAAACACACAAATTTTTAATGTTATTGTATCAGGATTCTTTCTTTTCATCCCGTTTTTTTTTTTTCGTAGTAATGATCGAAATCTGTTAATTACTGCGAATTTTGGAATGCAGTAATAATATCACCATTAATTTATCCTTTGTTTTAATTACTCTAAAACGTAATCTCGGAGAAATGTTTTTTCTAACAGAAATTATGCATATGCCTGTGCCTTTGAGATATATATATATATATATGTATATATTTGGGATTAGTTTTTTGGAATATTATGTATTTTTTCATGGTTTTAGATACGTGCATTTAATTTACATATGCTATCAGAATTTCAGTGATATAGTAAATTAGTTTGCAGCAATAATTAATCTTTGATATGTATGCAATTAAAATTTCATAATTTAAATTAACTTTATATGAATAGAGAATATTTGTTAAAATCAAATTTCATTCTTTGCAGCAATGGGCGCATGAGAATTATTTAAATTTAACTTTACTTTTTATTCTTATGAAACAATATATATATATTCTGTAACTGTAGGGGGAAAAACATGAATTTTTCTCAGCTGTTTAAACAGTTCCCATGTGTAAAATAGTATTTCATCCCCCAAAATATTAGTTAATTTTCTCCTAATGTATAATGTCTTGACTGTTCGTACAGTGTGATTAATGTCATGGTAATTTTGGATACTTTCTATAGATCTTGCATAATAACTACACATGTAAGTTATATACACATTCGTAAATCTCTTATGATATGAAAAGTTATTGCAGACTTTCACATAACTATTAATAACTTGATATTCTCGATAACAGATGACTTACCTTACTTCCGTAGACCATGATCAGAATTAAATAAACTTATAAGGTTATCATACTAAATTACACGAAAAGCAGCATGACATAAATAAATACAAAGAAATTAAATGTATTTACTGTACTAATAGATTATTATATTACATGACATTGGTTTTGCCCATGTATAATGCCCTGTGAAAGTATTGGACCAACTTCGTGAAAAAACATTCGTTCATTACTACTGTTTTATTTGCAGTCAAATTTTACCAAAAGCTCATTTTAGAATGCTATGAATACAAGTTGTCCACAGGTAATTGTTCCAATTTCTTACTGTTTTGTTCGCTATTTCCACACACAGTAGATGTTAATTCTTTCGACCAGCTGTAAAAGAACTGGAAAGCAATCACAAATGTGATTCTACCTAGCTTACCAAGAATTATTTTGGGTTACATACAAATGAAACCGCAGATGTTGCGAGTGTGGTGATATTAATTTTTGTTTTGTCTTCATTAACCGGAAAAATAAATTTTCCATTAATGGTGAAAAGGTAAGAAATATATGATAATAAGTATAATATTATAGTCATTTCAAATTACTGCATAAAAGTTTCATTATTATTCAAATAATAATAACAAAAAGCTATCTATACTATAATTATAGTGAAGTATAGATATTAAATAATACAAAATATTAAATAAATTTTAGAATCACCTATTTACTATAATTTAATGAAAAAAGGCTAGCTATAATTTTTGTGTTTTGTGTGTGTTGTGTGTATGTGTTTGTTTTAACGTTTTATTGCATATTTTTTTAATAATGAAAAAAAACAGTGACATATTTTTGTTAAAAATGGAAAGTAAACTCCTTAAAAAGACTGATTTATTAATATATCAACTATATTTAATGTTAAAAAATCTGTGTATTAAAATTTCAGATGAAACTTTCTTTTGACTGAGGATTTATGTTTTTCTAGGTATGGAATGCTGGTCTGAGGGTTCTCTATGCTATAGGGCAATGGCCAGGCAATACTCATGATGCATTTATATGGAGTGGACGGAAACAAAATCTAGATAGTATTTTGTCGCATCGTGCATATCTTTGGGAGATAGTGGATTATATTCCCATTTTATCACGGGAATATCTCTATAATGAGAAGCACAGAAAAAGTTCGTGCAGCTATAGAGATCAGGTATTTAGGGTACAGTCGGTCACAAAAGTATTCGAACACCGGCACCCATTCAGAAAATTTACTTTTCCGTTGAGAAACAAAATTGTCTCCAGAGTCCATCTTGGTTCGATAGAAAAAAAAAACAAAAGGATGGCTCATGTCCAAAATTGGCTAGGTGCATGAAACAAAATACAACGTGACCTATCTGGGTGAGATGGGAAACAAAATGGCTGCACACGTGATCCATTATTGCGCTCATAGAAAACGCAAAGTGTCGCTGCGGCTCGTCTCGGTTCGCGAAGAGTGAAAACCCAAAACGGTCTGCAGTGTCTATCTTTGTTGGATGAGAAAACAAAAGGATGGCTCATGTCCAATTTATTTAGGTGTGGGAAAAAATATAACGTGACCTATCTGGGTGAGATGTCTCCAGCGATCCAGTATAGACTTTTTCCCCATCTGCAATAGGTGACATCTATAAACAATTTCATTGAAATCTCCTCGAAATATAAGAAACAGCTAGCTCGTGAAATTGTAAGGTATTCCCAAAGAATTCCACTTCTTGAAGAAGGAAAAACATCCTAGATGCAGATGAGGTAGAGAGAGAAAAAGCATGTTGCACCATGGAGAGCCCGCACGGTTCTGAACAGAAAACGTGGAATGCTTTTATAGAAAAGAGTTGAAAGTGAAAGTAAAAGCCGTATTGGAAAATTTTTCACTTGGTTGCCGACTGGGAAAAAAATTTTCAGAGCTCAGAAAAAAAATTCTGAGATGTAAAAAAAAAAAAAAAAAAAAAAAAAAACTTTTGTTAATTTTTATCATGTCTTCTAGACATGATAAAAATTAACCCTACCCCCCTTTTGTGTGGGAATGTTGTCTCACTGTTTCTAAAAATAGACCATGACTCATTCTAGGAATTATATGTTTTAGAAAGGATGAGTCATGGTCTTTGGGTTTCTCCATTCCAAAGTAAACAAAGTGAAGACATCAAATTAATAGAAAAAAAGGAAAAGGTTTTTTTTTTTTTTTTTTTTTTTTTTTTTTTTTTTCAGCTCTGGAAATATTTTTCCCATTCAACAGCCAAGAAATATTTCCAGCCAATACAATTTCATTTTTACTTTCACTTTCAATTCATTTCTTATATCTATAAAAACATTTCATGTTTCTGTTCAGATCAGTGTGGGTTGTTCAAGATGCAGCAACTCTACTCCATCCCACAACCAGGAAAAAAAGATGTTCTTTCATGAGGAATTCTTTTGGCTTTCGAAAACAATGATGACATGATGATTGTAATACATTTCTGTTCTCATGTCCCATGCTTGAACTCAGAATTATTTCCAGAACTCTGAGAATTTTTCCTAGTCAGCTCGATGACCCAAATTTCGTATATTTATTTTTTAAGCCACTCGAGTTTCGACTTCCCATCCGTGTGTGCTGTGCATTCAACCTGGAGACACATTCCCTGAGCTCTAAGAAAATGTTTCCCAGCCCACTCAATCGCTGAAATGGATTAAAAATAAATTCGTTCCTACATTTTTAAAGCTCAAGCATGTTAGCTCTCATGGAAAAAGGGCCTTTTTTTTTCCCTAGCCACTCAATAGCTGAAATGAATTAAAAATAATTCTTTCATACATTTTTAAAGCTCAAGAGTGTTAGCTGTCATGGAAAGAGCCTTTTTTTCCCTGAGCTCTAAGAAAATGTTTCCCAGCCCCACTCAATCGCTGAAATGGATTAAAAACAAATTCTTTCATACATTTTTAAAGCTCAAGCGTGTTAGCTGTCATGGAAAGGGCCTTTTTTTTTCCAGCCCACTCAATCGCTGAAATGGATTAAAAATAACTTCTTTCATACATTTTTAAAGCTCAAGAGTGTTAGCTGTCATGGAAACTGAAATTTATGTCATGGTTTGTGTCTCACACGTCGTCAACGGTATGGTTTGAGGTGAAAATTGAAAACCCGGTATGAAAAATCTCTTTAAGTTCACTTTAGAAGAAGCTGTGGGATAGAGAGATTTCGTCATGGAAAAATGTCTTTCAATGTCTTTCAATGTCCGTCATGGAAAAATGTCTTTCAATATCATGACATCTCCTTTCAAATAGGATTGAAGGATTTTTCTTAAACTATGTTGAAATCTTGATCCATCCAAATTACAGATGGGAAATTCTGATCCATGGATGGATCATCCAATTTCGCTAGAACCTGATAAACGGTTGCTGATGAAATCCAAACGAGGGGCCCTAGCTTTTCAAACGGGAAACATTTTCCCCTAAACGTATTAATGATTTCTATTCTGTGAGACATTAAAAAGTGGAAAGAAACTTGTGTTCACAGAAGCTCTTTCTAGAAGAGTGGTCCTGGGTCCAGATGAGATAGAGAAAGAGAAAAAGCATGTTGCACCTTGGATAGCCCGCACGGTTCTGAATAGAAAACGTGGAATACTTTTATAGAAAAGCGTTGAAAGTGAAAGTAAAAG